CTTCCTGCCTTTTGGGCGGGGGGCTGGACTTGATGATCTTCCAAGGTTCCAGCCCTAATGTCTATCAAGTCTATGAAATAATATTAAATATAGCATGCTTGCTACTAAAGCTTTTAAAAAAATCAAACCAATGAACTGTGGGAAGTCATTGGTTAATCAAATGGATGCAGTATTTGCTGAGACAAACCAGCTTTTGACAGCAGTAGCTTCCTCTGCAGGTACAGGGAAATATTTTCGTTATTTCATTTTAGTCTATTTGGTACAAACAGCCTGTTCAAAGCTGAGAAACCAAGTGGGAGTTTAAAAACAAAATAAGAAATTTTACACTTTTCTTCCAACCATATTTACCCGAATCCAAGACAAGGTTTTTTCTCCTTTCAACAATTATTTTTTAAACTAATAAAAATAATTTTTAAGTACTATTATCACGATTTTAATTGAATTTCAATTTCCATCCAAAGGAACTTTGATACAAATTGCAAGAAATAATCATTTAGTAAACAGAAAATTTCAGTACCCATTTTCTAACATAATAAAACATAACAATTAAGAACATGAATTACATATAAGATAAGCTGTATAATTGCTTAAATGTGGATATAATGTATTCTGCTAGCTGGCACAACGGGCAAAATTTAATACAAAAGCTCTCTTTAGTCACAAATCACCACACTGTAACGGTTACCACCTAATGGGACAACCTTTGTCTTGGGAAATGACTAAAAATACAAATTAGTTAAATTAAAAGTGTCTCACTTGGTACTTTAAATCACTTATTTAAATCAATATATTTTAGCAAAATTAAACCACAGAAAAGCATGCACAGAGTACGTCTACACTGCACAATTTACCCCCATAATCAGCACTCTATGGTTAGCTAGCCCAAAGGTGAGTGTTTTCACAGCAAAACCATACTGACATACTGCATACTCATTGCTGTTCTACACATAACGTGTGCTTGAGTGAATTATCACAATTCTCAGTGCTGAGCTCTAGGATTTGCTCCCAGACAACTGAATCAATTGTAAAATAACTTGTCTGTACCTCAAGAGCACTGAAAGACTAACAGCACGTTAGTGGGTTGTGTTCTCACTACAAAGTGTGTATCCTGTACGTGAAACTGAAATACACCTTGAGCTTTAATCCATATCAGAAACCATGCAAGCAAGCATGGATCAAAGCATAAATAATAGGGGCATGCGAAATGGGCCGTATTCAATTCGGATTTGGCCCAAATCAGGGAACAGTGATTCGATTTGGTGATTTGGATCACTGTCCCAATTCGATTCAACCGAATCCAAATCTGAAGATTTGATGCAGATTCAGAGAATCAGTGATTCAGCCACAAACACAGCTTTAAATGTGTCTTCTACATACCTCAAGGTAGCAGGCGTGGCTCGTGAACACTGAGATGGTGGGGCAGATGG